GTTTGGCAAATTGAGCTTGATGGCCAGACGAGAAACGTGGGGAGAAGCTTACAACTAGGTGGGGATGCGGAGAATGATTAACGAGACGATAAACCATCAGGGCAATAAATGACGTCAGTCGGTTGCTGAGAACACAACATGCAGCACGCGGCTAATCAGGAGTTGGAGTGCTCGTTATTTCACCCCAGGAAACAGGCTGTCCGTCGGCTTTGCTGAAGGCAGCGGCCGAGTCCAGGTTTCCTCGGGCTCCTGGGGCAACCAAAGAGGGAGCATCTGAGAAATGAGGGAGGGAAAATGAAAATCGGCTCCCTGGGATGGTCTGAAATAGAAGGTGCAGATGCAGCTGTTTTTGAAGAGTTCGGAAACCCTAGCTGCTCATAATTATCTTCATTTCTGCATCAGTGTTACCTGCCAGCATGGCGATTTGCTGTTCGTTGAAATAAGGTGGGATCCTGTGCAATCCCACCCAGCGCTGCTTCGCTTGCTGGGTATCTGCTGCAGCCGGGGCCCCGAGGCAAGATCCGCACCGGGGACACACCAAATTCCTGCCCGTCCTGCAAAACCGGGGTGTGCCAAGGCGTGATGCAGTGATGCGAAAGGCGGTGAGAAAGCTGTTAAAAACGTGAAACGGGAAGGAGATGCAGAAAAGCACGTGTCTCCACGGAAAGGATGGGAAGGGCTGAAGAGTTCAACCCCACCGCTTCAGCCTTGCCAAGTGCAAGGTATCGACAGGAGGGTTAAAATGAAAGTAGAACAGGAATAAGAAAAGCAGAGGTGGAAGGCTATGCGGTTTGAGAACATTCAGTTAGCAGGGCCTGAACTGATCTGTTTATTTGCCTTAGCTAACGACTTACGGAAGTTTTAAGCTACTGGGTTATAGCGGAGGACTGACACATCCCCGGAGGACTGGAGGCGATTACCAGTAAGCCCGTTTATATAAAGCAGAACTCACAGACTGGTTGATGGAGTTTAGATTCCTGAAAACTACTGGGACAACCTATTAAATATCTAATTCCTTCGGACCTGCAATACTAGTAGGATGATTAATAAATTCATACAGACTCTTTCTTAGAAAAAAGAGATGTTTTAAATTAAACAAAAAAGCTTTGTTGGTTTGCTGGTGCAGAAAAGAGAAAGATGAAGTTGGCTTGGCTTTAGTAAAGTTATTGATATTTCAATGGTGTGTCCATGGAAAAGAGCCTGTGCAAAACCCTTCCCAGCTTGAGAACGGGTTACAAGAGGAGACCGAGTCTTTCTCCTAGTGATTTCTGAACAACAGAACTGCCTTGTAGGGATGCTGAGGGCCATTTTGTGGGGCCCAGGACCCAGCTTAGAGTGCTGTTCAGAAGCACCGTGCCTTCACCTGGTCCCTCCTTGCCGGGCAGCGCTGCCGGGGAGCGCACGGCAGCCACGCAGGCATGCCAAGGCATGCAGGGACAGGTCCCGGGCCGCAGCTCCAGCATCCTTTGCTCGCCCGGCTGCTCCCCGCCGAGACTCCACACGCGCAGGGGACTCCGACGACGCCGGTTCAGCGCGGAGAAGGGGAAGGCTGCAGGAGTCGCTCCCTTTTGGCAGCTGTCTGCTGCAGCATGTGCTTCTGGGCCACTTCTTGCAGCCACAGCTCCTCCTCACGCATCTGACAAGCCTTCCTGCTTCTTGCCCGGTGTTTTCAGCATACGGTGTTCTGCGTGCGTTGCAAAAGGTCGGGCTGAACGCAGGGCAGTTCAGGTGACGGTGCCAGCAACACCTCAAGGAAACACAGTTTGCACAAACCAAAGCGGGTGCTCACTTGTGTAACTGGGCATCGAGTCTCGCTGTCAAATCCGGGCCAAAACATCACTTTGCTTTGCTCTCATTCCTTGCTGCGTGGGGAAGCTTCAACGCAAACTTCTCTCCGAAGAGAGAAAAGACTTGAAACAACAACCTACTGGAAAATGACACTCGTAAGGTTTTAAAACATACCTTCTGTTGGTCAAGGGCGATGGGTAAAGCAAACCAAGCTCTGCTTGGCAAATAAAACTTGAAAAAAAGCCTTTAAAAGATGGCAAGATGTAGCCTGTAAAATCTTCTGGCCTGAAAAAAAGAGATGGATTTGCGAAGGTGTCAAGGCCAGAAGTCACGGCTCATGCTTCCACAGACATCTCACAAAGACTTCAGGCAGACCCAGCACCAGGACACTCGGGATTTCGGCATGTGGATGTGCTGCTGTGCTGACACACTTCCAAGGGAAGTCTCTCCCCGTCTCTGCCCAGTGCCCGGATCAGCAGAGGCTCTGGTCTGAGCGCTGCGGACTCGACACAGAGAAACCCTTCAGCGGAATGTAAAGGAACAGCACGGCTGTCTCTGAGCTTCTTCAACATCCCCTCGTTTACACTGTAATACACCCGGGACAAACAGCGCAGGGGTATTATTTATTCTTCTTTTCTTTATTTCTTCAGAAATGAAGAGCCACCGTGCTCTCAGGAGGCTGGAAGAAGGCCTGTATAATCATTTCTCAGTGGGATACATGGCAGAAATCAAAGCCTCCTGGCGCAGCTTCTCCAACTCGGCTTCCGAAGCCTGGGTAAGCGGTTTGCTGCATACAGAGAAGGAGGCTCAAGTTCTGCTCCTCTTTCGGTGCCTAGAAATAATAAAGCGAAGGAGAAAAGCCAAGTATCACTCCTGCAGCAAACAGCAAAATGGCTGTATTTCCCAGAAATTGAAGCAAATGTGAGAGAATTTGCTTTCGGGGTTAAGCGTCTGTCACTTAAATCTAAATTCTGCCATGTGTAACATTTGTTACAGCCTTCTTCGCACAAACCCAGCCCTTTTCCAGCCCGTGCTCACACCGGGGGTGAAGTGTTTACCAGCTCCTAGCAAGGACAATTTACCTGGTGGTGCGCAGCCTAGCAAAGCGTAAGATTCGCTTTATGGAACAGGCGGTAGGCTGCATGAAATATCGATGGGAAGGTCGGACACAGCACGTCAGGAGTCAGCACACGGGTACCCTGTTAAGGCAGTATGGCATTGGACCAAAGCAAAACCACTTTTTTCCTCCATGAGCGGAGCAAGACTGAGGAAGAGAGAATTTTTCTTTGCCTTTCTCCACGACCGCAGCCCACAGGCCCACGGTCTCCCGTTGCTGTACGGGTTAAAAAGCACCCATTCTGTTTCTGACCGCGTCGGAACACACGCAGCCTCACGCATGGCTTGGCCGATTACTCTGCCAGAGCGAGGTACCCATCCGTACAGCCGTAACCCACCCGAGCTCAGCCTGCGCAGGATGAGGTTCCTAGCTGGAAACCAGAGCTGCCAGAAGCGAGAGACCTTTCTGAGCTGGTCTCAGCTGCCAAAGCTCTCACCTCGGTGAACGGCAACTCACGTGCGGGGAGCTAGTGGTAAGAACTGTACTGTTGGAAGGTAGAGCAGCGAGAAATACTGCTAATGAAATGATGAAAAAAATAGTGCCGGTGCAAGGGACGAGGGCAGAGGTGCTCACGTGCTCAGCACAGCTTCCTGCATCGGTGGGGCTGCCACAGCCTGTTCTGCCACCTGGCCTCTTTGGCCAAACCAGCTTCAAATTCTGTAACCATGAACACACCCACTCCAGTCGCAGGGATACTAAAGCTTAAATGGCCTTTCATTCCCGGCTTCATTTTTTGGATTCTCTCCCATTCTTACACCCATGCAAAAAAAAAAAAAAAGCTGCTCCTGTGCTTCCAAAATTTTGAATGTGTGGTCCTTGGCCACACAGATGTCACACGGACATTTCTGTACTCAAGAAGCTGCTTCTGGGATGCTATTTGTTTGCCAAGAAACCCTAAGTTTAAACTTCAGCTTAAGCTGAAGAAGATTTCAGTGTGAAAGACATGGAAAGTTCCTGTAGAAAAAAATAAAAGCCAGGTTTTTTCCTCTTACTCCTAGCTGGAGCACCTCTTGGGCAGCCAGCTCACATAGCAGAGGCTATGTCAAAAAAAAACCCAAAAGAAATCCTAGAAATTACCGTAGGTTTAGAAACCCGCTTGCTGCCCGAAGCAGATAGCAGCTAGCGCCCACTCGTAGCGTAGAAGGTGGCATACTTTGGGGACAGATAAAAACGTGCCCCACTGGCCTGCTCCTCCTCAGAGAGCTTGAAGCACCAACATGACGGTGAAGCACTACCAGCACACGGGCAGGAAACCCAGGGAGAGGGCAGGTCACCGTTTAGACACCGGCATCGCACTGGGATGCAAACACAAGGCGCCTTTGGCTCTCAGACAGTTGTCCAGCACCGTATGTCCAGCACCCGGAGGTGCTCCTGGATTGTGACCGTTAGCACGGCGGGCATTCAGCTCCGTGGGAACACTGCCCCGGGCCAGCTTTCAGCGCTGGTCCACCCAGTCATAACCTCCCTCCACGCGAAGGGCTGGCCTCTGCCCGTAGGTTCTTCAGACAGATTGAGGGACACCTCCTTACTAGCCTACGCTTTGTTCTAGTAGGCTCTAGTATTGCTACAGGCAGTTTTCCCTCTGCAGAGAAAAATTTAAAATAAGGTACTTCTTTGGAAAAGTCTCTTCCCCAAAAGCAGGGGAAAGGTGTTCAGGAATGTAACCTGGGAGGTAGCATGACAGCTTCTGACCGCGCTAAGACAAAGACACTCTGTGAACTACAAAGCCCTTAACTTACTATTGGTACTCCTGCCAGGAACCCTAAAGATTTACCTTTAATCAATATTTACATGTTTATTCTGTTATGTACCTGAACAGACATACAGGAGAGACTGGGTCTGGAAACATCTCACACGTACATTTATTAGTCAGGAGCAATCTGTCTCAAAAGCACGGCCTATTGTGTACATTAAACGGCATTTCACCACAGTGCAGCTGCACGAGCCTCCCTTCTCCCTGAAAGGATGCTTGATATGCAGCAGGCAGGCTTCAGCACACAAGGCAGGCTTCAGCACACTGCTTATTTACATACGTAATTTCCTGGATTTGTTTAAGTTTGGGGACAGTAATTCAAGAAAAGCGTGTTTGTCTTCATCATTTGAAAAGCTTCTTTCTTTTCTTTCTCCATTGTTTATTGTCCACATCTTCAGTATCGTCAGGAGGATCAGGTATTACAAAGCCATCGGTTATTTTATAGTAGACTACTGTGGAATCTGACTCAACTATGGCCAAGGTAACCGACAGCGGGGTGTCGGGATCGTCTTGCGGCAGAGATGCTTTCTTCATGATTTCTCGCATCCTAGAAGAGGAAACGGTCGGTTAGAAAGGAGTCCACAACCACCTAACAATGGCACAAAGGCAGCAGTGCACCATGGCTATTTTTATTCAGCCTGGTTTTATTCTGCAAATTTGCAAAGTAGTACAGTATCTGTTCTAATAAAAACCCAAAGTTGTATAATCAAGCAACAAAATCAAATAACAAAGAATTGTATAAAAATCTACCCAGTTACATACATCTCTGCTGGCCGTGGGTCAACACACGCTTCTAGGCTTTGCTTAGGTCCTTCAGCTACCACAATCACTGCATGGCAATCTCTAATGGCTTTGTTTCCGCTGAATTACAAACATGGTGCGTTCAATTACAGAACTAGATAATTAAGACTTGTTCCACTTGTGGAGATAGATCCTCCAGTCTCTGTGCTGCAGTTCTCTGCCAGACTGCGGAAGACCCAGGAACCGAAGCCAGGTTCCCTGCCTCCCAGTCTAGACCAGAAGCCACAAGACTAACGTTCTTCTTCAAGACAGTCAGCATAAATACCATCTTCCTTAAAAATTCAAGACAAAGTTATGCAATTTTTCCTGTTCAGCTTTTAAGAATAACATGCTAGTTGCTTTTCAGCTCAGAGCCGAGGATGACATCGATTCCTGGAGTCCCTGCATTACTGTTCCAACTGGGAAACAAGCACTGAAGGAGCGCAGCGCCCGGGGGCAGAACAGTAACACTCCCACAGCAAGCATTTCCCCAGGGAGCTTCCTCCTCCACCTAAAGCTCGGGTGCACCAGGGCTCATCTGGCACTGCCAGGACAGGTTACGCTCCAGGGAGAGGCCAGCTATGCAGCAAAAAAAAAAAAAAAAAAAAATCACCCCTCGTTTCACGTGCCCCCAAGATCTCCTTCACCAGAAAACACGTGTTTCTGAAGCTGTGCGCTGTAGTTGAAAATCAGGCTCTTTCTAAACGCATCAGCTTTCAACCTTTAATCATCATCTGCCTTCCAAACCTCTTTGATCCCTTAATAAAAGCCAAATGGAAAGCGGCAGAGAATAAGCAGCAGCCTGGAAAGCCTGTGCTGTTAAGCCCGTGACCCTCTTCAGTACCCATCTGTGTTCTGACCTGTTCATCATTCAGCTCGGCTGAATGCAGCAGTGCCTTCTCTTTTGCTTTCACCACTGGCCCATATATAATGCAAGGCAACACCACCTAGTTAGTCAGTCATTTCATACTCAGGCTGTGAAAAGCCACATTCTGGTGCTCGCACCGTCAGCAGATTTCATAACAGGAGCACAAATAAGCACAGAGATACAGTACTGGCCCCTGGCAGAAGAGAGACCCCGCTTGTTTCACGCAATGCGGCATTAACGTCTCCGCTCCCTGCCACCTTGGTGCTGCTGTCTGCCCGTGCCCTTGGCAGGTGCCTCAGCCTGGGGGCCCTGCGTGGAGCAGACCCCACTCGTGGCAGCTCGGCAGCTCGTGCCTGCGAGGAGCTCGGGGTAGGCTGTCAACAGCGAGACCAGGCTGCTGGCAGAGACCCAGCCGGGAAACAACCGGCCATGGCTTTTATGAAGCTGCGGATGTTAATCTCCGTCTTTCTCCTGAGAACATGAAACAGGAATAACAATAAAAAGCCCAATAACAGGGCACAGCTACCCGGGAGAGATATTTTGGGACCCAAAGACACCAGACTTGTGTTGAGTGTGGACAGTCCCAGATTGGGAAGCGACTCGGGCAGTGGTCTGTACTCACCTACCAGCCAGGGCAGAAGCTCCTTCCTATTTTCTTTCCTAACTGCCACCATTTCTCTTCCTACTCTATTAGGGGGAAGGATGTAACAGTGAGGCCTTGGATCTGGATTTCCCATCACTCTACTTCTTCTTATACTGTCAAGCACAGACATCTGAACCTTTACTTCCCCTCAAGCAGCACTCAGACTCAGGAGATGCACCACGGTCCTGACAACACACTAAATGAGATTGCTTCCCATCCCTGACATACTTTCCAGGAGACTGAGTTTGAGGCTGCACGTAAAAGGCACAAAGCCACGCTGTTGCCTCCGGATGATCTGCTAACACTGCCGTCCGCGGAGCCCAGCACTTTCCACTGCGCACCGAGAATCAGCCTCTGTCACCGTAAAGAACTACACCTGCAAATGCAGGGTTCTCCTCTTGCCTCTTTGCTCCGCACAGGCAGCCCCAGAACAAGAGCTCTCCTTCACACAGACCACCACTAGCCACAACGCGCGGCAGCGCATCTGCAGATCAGCAAGAGGGCATCTTTTAACAGAATGAGCCTCGGAATTCAGGAAGTCCCTGTCAGATGCCCGCGTTTCCTCTCCTCCCCCGAAGGCATCACTGTTAGCCTCTGCATCCAGCATGTGCACAAGGCTTCTCTGCAGCAGCGGACGTTTCAAAGGAGTCAGAGAGCATCTGGGTTTGTGCTGACTTCACTGCGCTTGCTACCTGCCACAAACAGAAAGATGCAATATTGCAGGAAAGGTACATTTTTTTAAATCTTTTTGATGTATCTGACACTGTCCATGAGCCAAAATATCCCGCAACCACTGCTTTCCCCTCTCTCCCCCTCCCTGTGAAGAAAAGCCATTGAATGTTAAAACAGGTGATACTGAAGCTTTAGGTTTGCCACACAAAAAGGCACCGTGAAACAAAAATAACATATGTAAGCTAGGGGAATACAGACACCACGAGAATCACCAGAAAGTTTTGTTTAGGTCCCATAAATAGAATAAAATTAATTTTTTTTTTTAATAAGTCTCTTCTGTTGCAGATCATACACTCCAAAGTTTTTGGAATAGCTTGAAAACCCATCTCTAAAAACTGATGGTGTCTGCGTGTTCGCCGCAAGCTGGGATCTGCTCCCACCACGCCAAATGCCAGCGGGATGAAGCCCTCAGTTTCCACCTAGGAAGCAAACTCACATTGCAGGAGATGAGCAGGACTTCATCTCAAACACTGAAGTACACACGTTATCCAAGGTGAAGAGCTGGCATTTCGAAAGTCCTTTGCATCAGAAAAGAGGCCTTAGAAAAGGCTTTCTAGATACAGAGTCAGTAGGGATTGGTTTTTCCTACCAAAGAATTAGTCGTAAGAGCAGGTTGAAACACCACGCAAGGAGCACTGCAGCTAAGGTGACAGCACTATGCATGTCATCCTGCATCTGTCTTCACTGCTGCACTCAAACTAAATGGTGACGGTGAACTGATCAGGTCTCCAGTTACTGTTCCAATTAGTAGCTTAAAAACAAAACTAAACCCAACAAAACCAAACAAAGAAATCCATTTAAAGAGAGGGGGTTTCCATCTTTCCATCATCTTAATTTTTTATTAACAAAAGGCTTTCGTACTAGGTAGGCCTCCAGCACACATCAGAAACCCGTACCGCCTTTCCTCACGGTCTGCCCCTGACAAAACACCATCGCCCTTTTCGCTCCAGAGAAAGAGACAGGTATACAGCTGGTGAACTTCAGGCAGCTGCAGCTTGAGGGTTTAACTGACTGTCCAAAAACTAAAAAAAGAACAGAATCACAAAGGAAAGATAACATGGGCAGAAAGTTTTGTGACAAACAGGAGTATTTCAGTGACGTATCCCATGCAAGCGCTTCTCAGAAGCGGCGGAAACACTGTAAGCGCAGAGCAGTTTTATGGAGGTTGCATAGTGCTCCATTGAGCCGCAGCGGAACTGCTGCCTTCCACGCCATTAAAAGCCAAAGGCTTTCAATCTGCCCTTTATACTTGGATGAATAATTCATCGCAGGCTTGGCCAGCCCCACCAGCTCCCTCCCCTCCACGCGAGGCAGGGCTGGACAGGCAGCACAAGCCTCTCTTGACCCCACCAAGGACCGCCGCTCCGCGCAGCCGAGCGCGCCGTCGCACCAGGCTTGTTCACAGCAGCCCCAGGACAAGAGAAGCGAGGCGGAGGAAACCTCCCGGCAAGCACAACATCTTGAATTTCGCCAGCACCGCAGCGCGGCATGGCTCGCCTTCAGGAACGCTGCTCCAGCCGTCGCTGCCTGCCCTGCAGCTGGATTCACTCGGTGCCTGGAAGCGTACGGGACGAAGCACGCGGTGGTGGTGGTAGGTGTCAATGGAAGCAGCTTTGAGAGGAAAGCCACCCCTGCGGCCCCCACCCAGGCCTTACTAGTTAAGCAAGGAAACGCTGCCCATAAATGCTGCCATTTGCCAGCTGCTTTGGCAGTTAGCACATTTCCAGGCCCAGCAACAAGGACAGAACGTTTTCACCCCCCAGCCCCCTCCAACAGCTTACTCCCAACATTAAGTGAGCTGCATTCCCTTGCACTCATACCTCTTCCTCTATCTTTAGCACGTAACACAAAAACCCAGAGCGTTGCTTTGAACAAACAGCAAAGCAGCTAGGTACAAAAGCTTTTCTGTCTACCTATAGCTCAGTAAGTCAAGTGAGAAGATATCATTTAAGACATCAGACACCTAACAAGCCTCCTGCTATCAACCATCACAACAACAAAATATTCATAGCTGTCAGAAGAAAGAGGCGGTATCACTGCAATGCTGTTTCCCACTCCTTCTGTATGTAGGATGCCTTTCTAATGGCCTCCCTCTGTGCCACGTAACCTTGAGCTGCAGTTACTGTCTGTACCCCCTGGTTTTTGCCTGCTGTTCCAGCAACCGAGCCGAGGAGTTGACGCTGTCCTTCCTCTGCGAAAACAGAGCAGGCCCCTCTGATCGGCCGTGAGCTGCTAGTGAAATGCCAACCACGTATGTGCACATTCAGAAACACAAACACAAGCACATACGGCCTTCCTGCCTGACAGCATCCACAGGTACCAAGCACATACAGGCTTTAACGGACCCACCCGGCTTTACAGCCTGGTGTTCAGCTCATTTTAGTGACAGTAATGGATTCCATCCGCACTGGTGCCAGAAGCAGAGCAAACAGTATCACCACAGTACAAACAAGCTCAGAGGCTCCTGATGAAAAGCTCCAATGAAACAGTGAAAGATAGGACATATCTGTGTCCAACCTAGGGGGAAATCTACTACACTGAACAAGCACAACAACTCAGCACGTAGGTGTCATTTCTCAAAGACCCCATACCCTAACGCGCTGCCTCCTTTTCCCACCTAAAACCTGGCTCAAGCCGTGAACCGCAGCGGGTCCCTCTCACGCATGTACAGCACTTCTTGCACAGAGGCCGAAGGACACTCAGCATTTCATCCTGCAAGACCTCTCGGCAGTTTTACGCTGTTGTGGCGATCACACCGTATATCTCTGTCAGACCAAGCCCACAAGGGTGATTAACCAGCATTTGCAAATGGAAGATTTTTGCAGCACACAGATAGCACTCCAATTCATCAACACCCAGTAAGCCATCGTCTTCCCGCTCACAAATATGCTCTTCGGAAAACACAGAGCAGAGTTAAGATGGAAGTCTGCTTGCAAGAGACGGATCTGTCACTTCTAAAACCTAAAAAACCCCAAACCAACAGCACGTCTAAAACACCATTCCCACAGCGCGCATGCACACGCGCCTGCTAAGTCGTTTGCTACCCACCACTGCGTGGGGCTGCTGCCCACAGAGCAGGAGGCAGCAGCAGACACCAGCAAGATCCGTAAAGCCAGCCCTGAGCACACGCTCCTAGCCAGAGTACGAACAGAAGAAACTGAAAACCGTACGACCTTATGACGCAGCTGAAACGCTTCGGGTCTTCAGAGCCATCGTAGGAAAGAACGGCAAACACCAGCACGAGAAGGCGGCCATCGTCAGAGAGCGAGTCGTACCGTGTGTCTGAGGCTGCTCTAAGCGCCAGTTCAAATACACTGCAAAATTACTGAAGCAGAATTTCTCTAGGCTGCAAAGATCTGTACTGCCACAGAGTCAGAGCTGTGCTGTTCTCCACTTCAGAACTCCTTCGTCTTGCATGTGTAAGGAAAGCAAGTCAAAACCACAGCTCAAGGGACGGTTACACATTAGCCTCTGGATCAGTAAGACGAATTTCCAGCTGAAAATAGCCAAAGTATACTCTCAAAACAAAAAGCATAGCAAAGCAAACCAAACACACCAGGCTTATCAACAGATTCGACAACAACAAAGTTTATTCTTAGACAGGCCCAAGAGGATTTCTTTCCTCTCAGGTCCTATAAAGCCCAGCGACACAAAAGCATTACTACATTTCCCAGACTACAAAAAAGCAGCAGAAGAACGTTCAAAACATCGGCTGTGAAGGTCCTGCACTCTAACCTTGCCTCTCAAACACGCGCTCCGATATCTGTTGTTCTCTCCTAGAGCAGACGCAGCTTCTAAACAATACGAAGCGTTTGCCAGCAGGAAGAGTCAGCCGCTGAGGGAGGCTGACACCGAAAGCGACCCATGTTCAGAGACGGAGAAGCAGAGACCAATGCAGCTTCGAAAATGAAGGAAATCTCAACTCTGCACCTATGTCTGCAGCACTCGAAATAACTCCGCTCACAGGCCAAGCTGGTGCTTTCCTCTGATGCTCCGCTGTCTCCTGCCCTTGCCCTGCTGACCAAGCTACCGGCGGCCTGGCAAACACCTCTGTTCTTCACTCTGTCTTATCGTTAACGCCAGCCAAACAGCGTCCTCACCTCTCATGGCTCAGCGAGATGTGCACAGGCAGCGGCACCATCACCTGGAGACCGTCCTCTTCCCTTTCGCGCGCGTGCAGGCACACGAGCTGCAGTTCTGCTACGCCGACGTGCTTCACTTCATGCCAGTTTCTCCCTGCAAAGGTTCACCATCGATGGGCAGGACCGGAACACAAAAAACAAGTGTTAATCATCCCAGTATCAAATCTGGTATTTAAGTTAAGGCGTTGGGGTTCTGTTTTCCCTCCCTCTCCTCACAGAAGATTTCCCATGAGAGACAACTACTCCGCTGAGCCGTCAGGCTCCCCTTCTGAGCAACAATTCTGCTAAAGAATCCCACGGGAGCAGTACTGGCCTGCTGACTCCAGAGCTACGCCAGCCGATGGTGATCAGGGGTCTGTCTGACAAAGCTTTGCTTCAGAAAGGCAAAAAGAAGATAAAAACCACGCAGCTTTAGTCATCTGCAGCACAAAACTGTAATCCAAATTTAGACTTTATCGGTACCCTAGACTGTGAAGAGGCAGGTGCTAAAAGCATGATTAATGATAATACACAATTCTCCCCTTCTGCTTGAAGGGATACAGCTGAAAGCTCTTGCTGCGGAACCAGAGGAGCCTTCTCTAAAGCCTCCTAAGGCATTTTCTTCAGAGCTGTGACAATAACAGACAGAGCGCTATCTGGCCTGTGAAATCCCTCCCTTCCCTGACCTTCAGAACCACCAGCCTCCAAGAGAAACCGAAATATTTTTCTTAGGTTGGCTGCCTGCCTACACACAGGCCCTTTTCAGTAAAGCCAGCTTGGAAGAATCACAGGCAGAAGTTTATACATCACGTAACTCTGGTCCGCTCTTACAAGCCACCAGCAGATGACACTGCATTTGTCACCATTATCACCACCCGACTTCCAAATGATCTTCTTCCCATTAGGAATCCTTGCCCTTTCCAGAGAACAGCATCCGAATCGGGACAGCACACATCAGCCACTGGCTACAGGGTAACCGTAGTGAAACGCTACGATTCAGTAACTTTGATATTAATCTACACACGACGACCCTATTACCAGCACAACCACTGAACGTGTAACTTCATCTTTCTTTTCCCTACTTCTTTTTTGCCTTTTTTCCACGCTGAGTGACTTTCCCCTGGAACACCCGCATCGGTAACTGCTGGACAACACGGGCCCTCGTCTTCGCAAAGGCCCCAGGTACGCCCAGGGTAGAAACCTTCAGCACCGAAATACCAGCTGTTTCTTAGCTAACCGTTGCCGTGTTTGGTTTCAAAAAGAATGCCAGGGATTTCTGCAGGAAAGGCCCTGCTAGCACACAACCCTCAGCAGCACCTAAAGGCGGAGACGTCTGCAGAGCTGCCCACCCAGCCGCTTCCCCGAATTACCTTCCAAGAGGTCCAGGTACACCACAAACGCAGCATAGATTTGAGCGCTGTCGGATATGTCAAGAGACATCATTGCCGTGAACTGAAACGCAAAAAATAATACAGGTGAAGGAAAGCAGAAGCCACGTTAAGACCAAACACAGAATCCATACAGCTGCCTACGCCACCAAGCCTGACACCAGTTGTAACAACCAACAGGCAACTAAAAAGCGGGACTTGTTTTCCGACAGCACCCCAGGGGCTCTTTTTCCCCCCATCCCCCCTGTTTTGGTGCTTAAGCAAGCGGGATAAGCAGGCGATGCACGGGCTCGCAGCTATTTCTGGGGCAGCCCAAGCTGTGCGGAGCACGGCGCTGTGAATTCCGCCCGTTTCCGACGCGGTACATCAACACGCGACGGCAGCCAAACCAAACACC